ATTCCTTTGAGATTCCAAAGTACGTTTCATGAACTCAAATTTCTCAGAACGCAACTTTCCAGACGTTTTGTTGACAGATGTTTTGTTTCATAGTGACGCCGAAGATTGTACTCTTTCAAAACGGCAACACTTTCGTTGCATATCATGCAACTAGCTTTCTGGTTGTTTATTTCCACAAATAAGTACTTTTCTCCCCAATCTTCATTAAAAAGGCGACACTCAGCATCTACTTTTCTTTTCTTAGTAGTCATAACGATGGGTGAAGAAAACCGGATCTGAAAATGAAAAATAATTGTTTATTTCCACATTGAATAGTCTACAAAAAAGTTTTAGAAAAATAATAATTTTTAAAATTTTTTTTGACATGTATATAAACATGACAAATTAAATGTAAATACTTCATGACATTAAATTACATTATTACGTAATTGGTTTAAAAGTTTTTTCCCGATAAGTTATCTGATTAAGCAATTTTTATAATTTCCCAATGTATTTAAAATTTATTATGTAAGTTAATTAGAAGAGCTTCATAAAAAATAATTAAGATCATATTTAATAAAAATATTAAGAATCTTAATAGGCAAATATAGTATTAAGAATTTGATACTAATTTAATTAAAATCTTCGTTAATTTAATTAAGTCGTTTTTTGAGTGTATAGCGATTAAAATATAGGGCTTAAATAAATATCAAAGTGTGAAAATATTAGATGCTTACCTCTTGTGAGCTCTTTCAACATTCAAATATGCAAAATATATGACATAATTCACTGAAGTCAGTCCCTTTTATATACGGCACTCTTCAAACCGGTTTAAACACGGCAATGCAAGTTAAAACACAATCGCTGCAGCAGGCTCGTAATCGCTTTTCTTGGAAGCTTCATTGCAGGTACTTAAACAAAAAGCACTATGATATCCAAACTCTCAAAAAGTCGCCTGTTCGGGTTTAATCCGTGTATTGAACCAGTGTTCCAGATTTGAATATAGATATACACACATATGTACAACACACAAATATACGTAGAAGCACACACAATACACGCACACGTCTTCTCTATCACAAAGTTGTGTAACCACACGCACACTCGTCACACTACTTGTCTCAACTGCCTGTAAGCATTGTATCGTCTTACAACGATGCACGCAGAGGCGACTGCAGGAATGAACTCTCATTGTAGGTACTTACACAAAAAGCGCTCTGATATCCAAAGTCGCCGAATTTTTTACTT